TTTAGGGTTTATTCTGAGATTTGAGCTGAAGAGAAGAAGATGCTTTCGATTGTTGCTTGTACGCACAATCCTTGTTAGATTTAGTCACCGAATCGGTCAAGCTCTGTAATTTTGTTGTTGGTGGTAATGTTCTTTCACTTTTGATTCTTTGGCTTTTTTTTCTTTTTTTGTTTGACACTTGGCCCAAAGTGGAAACCATTACCGAAGAAGTCAACCTATAATCCATTATCTTAATTCTAGTAAAAGGCTTCCACAGTTTTATGCGAAGTGAGTTCAGTATGTCATTCTATGGGATGATTATTGCAAGAAGGTAACCAGTGGATGGTCAGGCCATTACTGCGTCACTCAAATTTGGTATTAGACTTGGACTTGTGTAAATAATAAGATTCATGTTTTCTTAATTTGAGTGTTAGTGAACTTATGTTTTGTTGTGGTCATTTGGTGAACTTATCTACACAGAGGTGTATCATGTGTAGCGACCAAACACGTGAAAGATAAATTAAGAGTAATACAAATTGTTTTGCTTCTTTTGTGTCTCGTTTATTTCCTTGATTTTGCAACATAAAGTCTTATAAATTGCAGTTAGAAGAACTATTGGATGAAGTTATGGAGTACATTCACACAAGGAACTATTGCTTTATCAGTCACTGTGTCTTGTGAGGCATGAGTGGTTTTGAGTCCAGTGAGAATGAGCTGTTTTCAATGACTATTTCCGGAGAAGTATAACTGAGTGACATAGACTCCGGTATAGCAATCTGGATGTGTGCATGCTCTTCACTATTCTGTGCTTGGTTTTGAATTTCTTTTTTCTTGGATTGCATCCTATCCAGTTCAATAGAGACGACTCTCATGGTAGGGCGGTGTTGTGAGTTCAAGCTCAAACACCTTCTTGCAAGTTTGGCTACTGTAAAGACCTCTTCTTGATCACATTCCTCCATGATGCGAGCATCGAGAATCTCATGAAGTCTGTCATTTCTCATGGCTTCAAGGAAGTAAGCACCCAGCAGCCTGACTTCTTGCCGCCTCAGGAGGGAGACAGGTTTCTCTCCAGTTAAGAGCTCAATGAGCAAAACCCCAAAACTGTAGACATCACTCTTCCCTGTGAAGTGGTTTGACTGGAGATATTCTGGGTCTACGTATCCAACTGTTCCTTGCACTATTGTTGTCAAGTGAGTGTCATCTATAGGAACAGATCTGGAAATCCCAAAATCTGCTACTTTTGCACGATGCTTTTCATCCAATAAGATGTTTGTTGACTTGACATCTCTGTGATATATTGGAATAGAGGCGGCTGAATGCAGGTAGGAGAGCATCTGCGACTTCACAGGCGATGCAGAGACGGACTTCCCAAGTCATTGGGAAATCCTCTGATGGGTTCTGAAGATGATCGAAAAGGCTTCCGTTGGGAATGAACTCATACACTAATACAGGTACCTCCGTCTCAAGACAACAACCTAGGATTTTGACAACATTTCTGTGGTTAATCTGTGACAAAAGGATTATCTCGTTGATGAATTCCTCAAGATTCTCTTCTTCCAATGCTTTGGATTTCTTAACTGCGACAATTATTCCATCTTCCAACATTCCCTTGTATACTGTACCTTGCCCACCTTGCCCTAGTATTCTGCTTGCGTTGAATTTGTCGGTTGCCTTCTCCAGGTCACGAGAGCTGAACAGTTTGGTTCTGTTGACACTGCCTTGAAGGAAAGATGTTTGTTGTTGTAACAACAAACCTCCATTTCGTTTGAAGAACTTCCTCTTCTGCTTGGCTACTCTCCGCTTTTTATTAGCCTTGCATAGCAACCACATTCCAATGACCAAAAGCAACAATCCAGCACTGAGAGTTCCACCTGCAGAAGAACTTGTAGAGCATTGTAAGTTGATCTTTCAGTTTCAATGTAGAAAGATGATGGGGCTATGCAGAAAACATTAGATTAACTTACTTAAAATGGTTAGCCAAGTTTTCCTACATTTGAATGATCCAGGAACGTTCACACACTTGTTCTTTCCACATACATTTAGCTTTGGATCTATGCATTCATCAGTGTCTATGGACAAAAAATGCAAACTAACGTCATACACATTTCTATGTATGAAAGCTAATTTAAAACGAGGAAATTTATACAAACCTTAGACATCCACCAGGTAAATAGGGATTTCCTTCATAACCATAATTGCATGAGCAGAAATATATATAGTGACGATTTCTGGATACTACAGTTACGCCTGGAATTATCTTGCAGTGCGATGAAGTACCCGTAGATGTCGAAGGAAGATCAAAACGCCATTCGAGCTCCATCCTCGTGTAGTTACCGTACTCTGATAGTTGAGGAGCCGTGAACATATACCCTTCCAAGTTGAATTGTGACAAGTATGCAACTTGACATCCGTCTTTACTGGGTTCCAGTTTCTCCAAAGTCGCATCAAACAGCAGAAGATTAGGTGGTATTGAGGTTTGGCAGCATTTATAACCCACACAGCTTTTGTAATCATCTTGAAAAGACTGTATCTCATTCCTACATGTCGCCTCACATCCCACGATTTGCAACCCTGTCCCGTTCATCGACGCCTTGTTGTTGCATCCAACAGCTGTGAACTTGTTCTTGTCTGATATGAAGAATGGACTGCCTGTTAGATTCAAAGGCGATGAATCACCTACTACTCCATTGGAGCAACCTGAGTGCTTCAATGGACTCAGAATGTAAAACTTGTTGGTCTCATCATAAGAAACGGTGGGAAGGCCAACAATGGAGATGGAGATAACTTCCCGTTCGATGCTAAGTAGGAAAGGTACTGAGAGTTGTTCTGATGAGTTCCTGCAGACAATCTCGAACCACTTGTCCTTGTAACAACCTTGGCCTATCCCAAAAGGGTAAGGAACATCAACAATTCCGCAATGGTCTTTGCAATTAGGTAATGCAAAAGAGAAATTAGAAGCAGCTGCGTAGTCACATATTCGCAGCAGAAGTAATGCAAGAAGGAAACGTTTCAGATCACAACCCATCTTCTCTTTCTTTTGAGAGTTTTGAAGCTCTCTTCAGGTCTCACATAAAAGTTAAGATTCAACCC